TTATTATTTTTACTATTATTATTATTATTATTATTATGAGTAGTAATAGTAAGACAAAGAGTTGCAGTAATTAAAGTATATTTTGTATAGAGATTTACTTATCAATAAAAACCAGATTGTTAAAAAATTAGATTAAAAATATCTCAAATTGGATTAAGCTTGACGAGACTGTTAACATAATTTGAAGTGTTGTTTTTCCATAAAAGGACTAGCGCATTTCTGATTCAAACCAAATGAGTAGGAAATATTAGAATTAAACAATATATGCCACACTTTTTAATCACATAAAGGTTTCAAGGGTACCATTGTCTACCGAGAATGGAATGTCTTTTGAAATTAGAATTGCAGTCCCTTTAGCAATTATAAAACAAGAAACTTTTGCTTGACTCAGTCTTTTCTCTTGCTCCACGGAAATACAAGAAAAAAACTTATAGAATAAATTTGTATTAAGTATTTTTGTATGTTGATTTTTTATAGAGTTCGATTCACAATGATACTCTTAAAAGCTTTGTCTGTATTAGATATTCATGCTTATTTTCTATTTGTATACTGTGGTCTCCATACAAAAGTGTCTTATTTCTGTTTCTGCTCCAGATATATTGGAGAAAAATGTCAGAATTAAACACTTTACAAGCTAAAGAAACAACGATGTCTTCCACACAGCTGAACCGCTCCGGCCCAAAGTTTGTGTGGGGCCTTACATGTCTCCAGGGAAGGTTCATAAATGATCAAAAGTTTAAAATTTTGCCTCCAACAAAATTTTATTTGCATTGAATTTTAAAAATTAGTTAGATCCAACAATCAAAGTTTGAAATATCAAAGGTTTACACCATCAGGTTGAAAGGGTATAGGGATTAGAAAATTTGATTTTGTGGCAATGACTCAATTTCTTTAAAAAAAATTTTTAAAGAATATTTAGTAAATACTTTGTTAAATATAGTGCAAGTTGTGAAGAGTGGTTTAAAGTTAAATTTCTTTTCAAATAACTCAATAAAAGTTTTAAAGTATTTCATCTTATTTAGGCTCAATAACCAACTAACTAACTATCTAAGTAACAAACTAACTAACTAACTAACTAACTAACTAACTAATTCTAACTAACTATCTAACTAACCAACTAACTAACTATCTAACTAACTAACTTACTAAATAACCAACTAACTAACTATCTAACTAACTAACTAACTAACTAACTAAATAACTAATTCTAACTAACTAACTAAAGAACTAACTTACTAACTAACTAACTAACTAACTAACTAACTAACTAACTAACTAACAAGCTAACTAACTAACTATCTAAATATCTAACTAACCAACTAACTAACTAGCTAACTAACTAACTAACTATCTAAATATCTAACTAACTAACTAACTAACTAACTTACTAACTAAATATTTATCTAACTACCTAACTAACTAACTAAACTAACTAACTAACTGACTAACTAACTATCTAACTAACTAACTAACTAACTAACTAACTAACAAACTAACTAAGTAACTATCTAAATATCTAGCTAACCAACCAACTAACTAACTAACTAATTATCTAAATATCTAACTAACTAACTAACTAACTAACTTACTAACTAACTAACTAACTAACTAACTAACTAACTAAACTAACTATCTAACAAGCAAGTATCAAATAATCAAAGAAAAAAGTTTTAATTAAATATTACTTTCGCAAATCCCTACAGTAATTCACTTCCTTCTTTTCCCGACTAATAAAGTTTAGGAAAAAAATATTTCCAAAAAATAAAATATTTTTTTCAAAAATCAGAAAACTGCTTTTTAATTTGACCGTCAAAGGCCTTTAATCCTAGGTAACAATTTTTCGGAAAATCCACAGAAATTCCTTGAAATCTTTTCCAGGATTCCGCGGAAATTCCCACGAATCTTTCACGGGGAAAATCCGGTGAAAATGTCGACATTTTCTCGAGAATTTCCGGAGAAAGATTCTCCATTGAGAAATTCCTGGGATGAACACTGTACAGTGGCAGAGGTTTAGCCGGGCTGGAGATTTTCTTATGATTATTTCCCGGGAATAAATCAGAACCAATTCTGAGGAATTTCTTGCAACCCATTCCTAGGAATTTCCTGCAACGCATTCTGGGGAATTTCTTGTAACCCATTCTGGGGGTTTTCTCGTAACCCAGACTTTTGTCGGGTATACCATTCCTATGAGGAATTTTTCGTTACCCATTTCTAGGAATGTATCCTAACCCTATCTGAGGAATTTCTTGTAACCAATTCCAGGAAATTTCTCTGGAGAATAACCGGGGAAAATGTCGACCAAATTTGGGGAAATTCTTGGGAGAAAAGTTCTTTATAACCAATTCCTGGGAATTTCCTAGGAACTATTACCAAGATTTTCCCAAGAGTTCCTTAAAAACTATATTAACACTCCAACTCAGAATGCTATAGTTGCTTTTGATCTAACAGAAGTTGTCTTGTATCTGGTATTTTCAGACAACTTAATTGTCAAGAACAAAAAGTCTCAAAACTATGATCCCTCAAAAAATCTCTCAAATTTGGGACTAATTCCGGGGAATTTCTTGAGAATTTCCGAGAAATCATTCACAAGAACTTGTTCTCAAGAAATTCCGCGGAAATTCTTCAAAGCAAGTAAGTAAAACTGGAGAACTTGGGGAAATTCCTCACTTTTGTTTCCTGGGATAAGTCTAAGTTTGAACATTTTACTGTTGAAAAATATGGAAAAGCATAAATTTTTCTAAAAGTTTTGTGAACCAACATTTATCAAAGAGTTTGAAATATGAAGAAAATAACTTGAAGTAAACATCTAAACACTTTAGAGATAGATAGATAGATAGATAGATAGATAGATAGATAGATAGATAGATAGATAGATAGATAGATAGATAGATAGATAGATAGATAAATAGATAGATAGATGGATAGATAGATAGATAGATAGATAGATAGAACAAACCTGATCTCTCTCAGCAAAGGCAATAACCTCTAGACCGAAAGTAAGAAAGGCCCCGTTGAAGAATCTGTCCATCAAGAACATTTGGCCTAAAAATAAAATTTTTAAAAAAAGATCAATTTTTACACTTATTTTTTTGTTGCATCGCATAAAATTGAAAACAGCCCTGATTAATCAAAATTGGTTCTTTTATTCGTTTAAGCAAACACTGGAATAGGATTAGAAAGTGAATGAAAAATAAATGGAAAATGAAATGAAAAAAATGGGAGAATAAATGGAATATGGATGGAAAATGAAATGAAAAAAATGGGAGAATAAATAGAATATGGATGGAAAATGAAATGAAAAAAATTGGAGAATGAATGGAAATAAATGGAAAATGAAAGGAAAATAAATGGGAGAATGAATGGAAATGAATGAAAAATGAAATGAAAAAGGATGGGAGAATGAATGGAAATAAATAGAAAATGAAATGAAAAAGGATGGGAGAATGAATGGAATATGGATGGAAAATGAAATGAAAAAGGATGGGAGAATGAATGGAATATGGATGGAAAATGAGTTGGGGTATAAATGCAGAATAAATGTTTAAGTTTTTTAAACTTAAAAGAAATTAAACTTTAACGGAATTTAAATGATTTCAACAGTAAAAATGCAAAAAAAGCTAAGATAATAAAATAACTTTTTTCTTCCGATTGTACAGATCATCTATATAAAAAGGAAAAAACAAATTCGAAATTTGTTTTTCGAAAACCGAAATTTAGAATTTATTGTGTGTTTTTCCCTAAAGCGTTTTCAAAATTCCACGGGCAACGCCGGGCCTTCAGGTAGTATTTGATAAATCAGTAATATATTTTATTCTCATTAAGTTTTAAAAAACCAATGAAAAAAGATTTTTAGATTTATCTTCAGAACTTATGAGTTTAATATATAGGACTGATTCATCTTTCTGATAACACTACCAATAATAAGGGTGGTTGAAGAGAAGAGTAAAAGAGGGGAAATAGGAGAATAGCTGGGGTAACGTAATGTCATGTAAGATGAATTTCTACAGAAAATATCAGACAGAAAGAATACAATTTTAGCTAAGAAAAAAAATTGACAACTTTATGCAGCTGAATACAAGGAAAGGGGTGACTGTACTGTACTGTACTGTACTGTGCTGTACTGTACTGTACTGTACTTTACTGTACTGTACTGTACTGTACTTACTGTACTGTACTGTACTGTACTGTACTGTACTGTACTGTACTGTACTGTAAGGGGGGACTGTTCATATAATTTCATGTTACCCTCCATTTGTTGAGAATGGTATGTCTCAATCACAATGGTACTATTGAAACCTTTATCTTTTCAAGTGCGACGGAGAAATTTTTTTTTTCTGGCTGAAAATTTAGTGCCGGGAACTTGAGCCAGTGTTCACTCTATATTACAGTCACACACACAAAAATAAGAATAATATCTTTATCGATTTCAGGGGTATCAAGTTGTAATAACTGTCCATTTAAACTTAAAATAACGCGCATTAGTCCCTTTAAAATTAACATGTATCAGTCCCTTCCAACTTTAATAACGTGTATTTGTCCCTTTAAACAAAAATAACATGTATTGAACCCTTTAACTTAAAATAACGTGCATTAGTCCCTTTAAACCTAAAATAACGTGTATTTGTCCCTTTAAACTTAAAATAACGTGTATCAGTCTCTTAAAACTGACCGCAAACATTGAGTAAGGCGAGGAGTTCACAGAAGAAGTATCTGTAGGCCCACCAATTGTGGTTCTTCAGGTTATCATACAGATAATCCAAGAGAAGCTTCTTCTTCTGCTTCTTCTCCACCTAGATAGATAGATAGATTGATAGATAGATAGATAGATAGATAGATAGATAGATAGATAGATAGATAGATAGATCAATAGATAGATAGATAGATAGATTGATAGATAGATAGATATATTGATAGATTGATAGATAGATAGATAGATAGATAGATAGATAGATAGATAGATAGATAGATAGATAGATAGATAGATAGATATATAGATAGATAGCTTGATAGATAGATAGAAAGATAGATATATAGATAGATAGATAGATAGATAAATAGATAGATAGACAGACAGATAGATAGGTATACAGATAGATAGATAGATGATATGAAAGATATATAGATAGATAGATGGGTGTATAAATAGATTGATTGAAATAAATCCAGTTTTTTACAAAATAAATGTAGTTGATATAATTAGTGACCATATGATTATATCATTAAGAGTGTCCACTATAAATTGAGACGATAATAAAAACACTCAATAAATTTTAAAACACAAATTAATAACGATATTTATATTTCATTTCATTTCCTCCTAAAGATTCCTGATAAACATCGTTTTAAGCTGCTTTTAGAAGCTTAGCTTTTAACACTCTGAACAGTCTCTGGCAAAAATTCCTTTTTTAGAAATGGCAAACGATACCAAAAGCTCCTCGGGTATATTATTCTTCAAAATAAAACTGCAACTAATTTGTTCCCAGGTGTCTGATCATCGCAGATTTTCATTTCCAAATTGGTGGATTTGCTATTTTATAAGCTGTTAAAAAAGTCTCAATTTTTAGTAGACAACCATCAGGGTATAAATTAAAAAAGGTGAAAGCTGAAAGGTAAGAAATTGAAATGAAACCCAACTAAAACTCATAATTTGATATACATCGTGAATGAGTTTTAACATGGTCTAGGGGGGAGTGTTAAACATTCTAAGGGGGGGTTGTAATATATAAATATATAGAATAGGATGCTCTGTAATATAGAATATATAGAATAAGATGCTCTGTAATATAGAATATATAGAATAGGATGCTCTTTAATATAGAATATATAGAATAGGATGCTCTGTAATATATAGATATATAGAATAGGATGCTTTTAAATATAGAATATATAGAATAGGCTGCTCTCTAATATATAGATATATAGAATAGGATGCTCTGTAATATAGAATATATAGAATAGGATGCTCTGTAATATAGAATATTTGACGGGCGGATTTTTGGTAATGTCAATTTGGTAATGACAATTTGGTAATGACAATTTGGTAATGACAATTTGGTAATGACAATTTGGTAATGACAATTTGGTAATGACAATTTGGTAATGACAATTTGGTAAGGTGACAATTTGGTAAGGTGACAATTTGGTAATGACAATTTGGTAACGACAATTTGGTAATGACAATTTGGTAATGACAATTTGGTAAGCTCACAAAAGTGACAATTTGGTAATGACAAATTGGTAACGTCATAAAAGTGACAATTTGGTAATGACAATATGGTAACTGCAAAAAAGTGACAATTTGTTGATAAAAGTTAAATTTAATTCATTTTAATGTTTAATAATTTGCTGTTTTTCACATTATTTAGGGTTAGGTTAGGTTAAGACAATTTCTGGGCCGAGCGCTGCGGCTAGGATGGACTATGGGGCCGAGCGCTGCAATCTATAAAATGTTAAATAATGTGCTGTCCCTCTCAACATTTTGGGTTAGGTTAGGTTAGGTTAAGACAATTTATGGGCCGAGCGTTGCGGCTAGGATGGGTTAGGGGGCCGATCGCTGCGGCCTATAAAATGTTAAATAATTGTGCTGTCCCTCTCAATATTTTGGGTTAGGTTAGGTTAGGTTAAGACAATTCATGGGCCGAGAGCTGCGGCTATAGTGAGCCAGGGGGCCGAGCGCTGCGGCTAGGATGGGCTTGGGGCCAACCACTGCATCCTCTTAAATGTTGATTATAAAAGGGACAGTTTGATAACTACATATAAAAAGTAACATTAATAACTTCCTAACATTGACACACATAAAGTCCGTTCTTGTTGTAGTATTTAAATCCTTCTGAATCTTGTAACATTTTGCCACCCCTAGAAGGGGTGATGAATAAGTAATTCATGATCCAAGTCTCCTCTTCTTGCAGTATATGACACAAGTGCAGGTTGAATCGTAATTTTTAGAAAATGTTGTGAATTTTACAATTATTTTTGGCGCATTACTTTTGTGCAGAAATAAAAGATTCCTAGAATCAATTATCTTCAATTGATAATAAAACTAAAAATTAAACAATTTTAAATAATGTCACTTTTATTTCGTTTACCAAATTGTCACTTTTATGACGTTACCAAATTTGTATTACCAAATTGTAACTTTTTTGTTGTTACCAATTTGTCATTACCAAATTGTCACTTTTGTGAGTTTACCAAATTGTCATTACCAAATTGTCGTTACCAAATTGTCATTACCAAATTGACATTACCAAAAATCCGCCCATCGAATATGTAGAATAGGATGCTCTGTAATATAGAATATAAAGAATAGGATGCTCTGTACTACAGAATATATAGAATACGATGCTCTGTAATATAGAATATATAGAATACGATGCTCTGTAATATAGAATATATAGAATAGGATGCTCTGTACATAGAATATATAGAATAGGATGCTCTGTAATATAGAATATATAGAATAGGATGCTCTGTAATATAGAATATATAGAATAGGATGCTCTGTAATATATAAATGTATAGAATAGGATGCTCTGTAATATAGAATATATAGAATAGGATGCTCTGTAATATAGAATATATAGAATAGGATGCTCTGTAATATATAAATGTATAGAATAGGATGCTCTGTAATATAGAATATATAGAATAGGATGCTCTGTATTATATAAATATATAGAATAGGATGTTGTGTAATATAGAATATATAGAATAGGATGCTCTGCAATATAGAATATATAGAATAGGATGCTCTGTAATATAAAATATATAGAATAGGATGCTCTGTACTACAGAATATATAGAATAATGTTAAAGGGAGTGTCTACGTTATCATGAAATGCTGTAAATGCTTTATAAGAAACGTTCAATGAGTCTGTCCATGTAATTATAAAAAAAGTATAATAATACTTTATATCTGTTTCGATTCTTCTTATATACCTATAAACCTAGCTATGTATCTATTATATATTTCTGTCTATCTAACCTTCTATCTATTTATCTATCTTGAGTATCCATCTATTTCTTTCTGTATAACTATCTTTCTCTCTCTATCTATTTTGTATTTATTTCCATCTATCTACTCATCTATCCAATTAACAAAATTATCATTTATCAAAAAAAGTCTAATTATCATATTATCATATTATCATATTATCTAATTATCTAATTATCATATTATCATATTATCTTATTATCTAATTATCTAATTATCATATTATCATATTATCTTATTATCATGAATCCTAATTATTAGAATTTATTAAAGGTTTCTTCAGAAATATATTAGTGGTAAAGGCCGAACAATTTTTCATCTTTTATTTATTGTACCCAGCCAGCCGTAGATAGAACACTAGATGTCGTCTTTTCAAGATTTAGGGGTTTTTCTTGAATTACAAGACAGAGAGAGAGAGCATTCGGTGCCTGCGCGGAACTCCTTTGGGCTTTTGCCTCAGGGTTATTGTGAACGAAAAATCCCTAAATTTTGAAAGGATGCATTGATTGCCAGCCCAGAGTTTGTGCAGAAAACGTGCTGGGTCGACTATCCCACAGCATGGGTAGCCTAGACCCACTGGTGCGGTGCATAAACGGTACATGTACACTAGACTGGTAAATCCACGTACCGGTTCGGATAATGCAATGATTAGACCTGGGTAGAGAGAGGGTGTAGGGTATCCTATAGTCCTAGGTAAAGGTAAAAAGCCAAAGCATCCCCCGAAATAAAATCTTAAAAAGCACATAGCTAGGACATTACCAAAAAAAAGCTTCTAAAACCGGGCTGTTAGCTGGGTTTTACCAAACTAACATTTCGATGTAAAAGGTTTGCAAATTGTTTTGAAGATTGCAAATTTCTGCAGTTTACAATAAATATATCTGCAGTTGTAATGATTGCAGTGGTACAAACAACAATATGCTGAGACTAAATTATACAGAGCTTTAATGAAAATTATATACTTTCTGCAACTTTATTACCCCACCCCCTGTTCCCCCCTTTACCTTACTTTGTGTGCCCCTTATTATGGAGATGCAAGGTTTGAGGGGTCCCCCCCCGCCATAAATATTAAAAATGCTCCATTCCAGCTGGAAAATATTTAAACTTTTTAGTTGATTGTTGACTTAACAATTTCATTTTTAGGAACCGTAGACGTAATTTACAGTATACTGACATCTATAGTTTTTTTACCACAAAGAAATTTTTAAAAGCTTTATAAAAAAATATTTTTCATCATTTATGAATACTTTATAATTGGTTTTAGATATTCATGAATACCTTTCTGGTACTACTTTACTACTTTACGGCCTGGTAGCTCATTTAGTTTTGATTTCAAGTCCATGTATGAGAAACCCCGATTAATTTGGTTGTATTCTCGAAATTCTCGAAATTCTAGAAATTCTCGAAATTTTCGAAATTCTCGAAACTCTAGAAATTCTAGAAATTTAAAACTTTTTTGTTCTTCTCCAAAGCTTTTTAAAAAGAAAAGTTATTCTGGAAAATATTGAAGATTCAATATTAATATTTTCCATAAAATTTCTATAATTTGGCTAGTTTTAAAGGGACTGTATCACGTGACCAGTAAACTGCACTGCCATTGGTGGTACTTTTGGTCATGTGATACGGACATCTGAATAATATCATCAATTGTATTTATTAAAAATGAAAAATTATAATATTAGAAAAGTAAAAGGAGTAAACCTTAGTTACTTAGGCACCTCTGGGATATCGTCGCTTTCAGATTGGTTCTGTATTTGCTGAATATGATTCGTTTAAACTTACTATTTTTATACAAAATTTTATATATATAGATTTTCGTGTAAATTTTACACAGTTTTATATCAATTTTTCTTATGGATCTCGATCAACTCCTAAAATGCTTAGATTTCAGCCTATATAACCTATTTTTTCCTTTTTTTACAGTCCTTCTAAGCATCGTTAAACTTTTTGGCAGTTAAATCCTTGATATGTATTTTCTAAAAAATTCTGCAAAAATGTAAAAAAAAATCTACAGTAATATAATTAAATGTTTACTTATTTTTGATAATAAGAGTCAATTTTTATTTTCTCAACCTGTTCCTAAACAACTTATTTGGTTACCTTTGAATTTTTGTTACCTTTTTTGTTGTCGTTTTTTAATAATTTAAGAAAAATCGATTCTCCACCCTAATGCATGATTTTGAACGTCGACTTTAAGTGCTCAAACTCAGTAATTATACACCATTAAAACGGTTTATATGTCTCAAATGAATCCTAAAAAATTTCTTTACAATACTACATTCTCAGTTCAACTACCATACATTTCCGGTCACTCCTTTTAAAAAGAAAAGCTATTCTGAAGAATATTGAAGATTTTATATTGATATTATCCATGAGATTTCTATAATTTGACGAGTTTTAAGCATTGTGAAGCTTTTTGGCAAAAGCCTGTGATATGTATTTCCGAGGAAATTTTTACCGTAACTGCATCATGTAATTGGTTTTTTATAGCCAGCTCAGTTTCATTCAAGAGAAAATAAGTATTTATCTATGGAAAAAATCAACAAAAAAGTTTCCAACCAATTTTTCTAATAATTCTAATTTCTAATAATTGTTATTTTTTGGAAAGATAATAAATAGTAATTGCGCCACTGTAAGCGAAGAGGAGGGTATACAATACATACATATATTATACATTTTTATTTATGTATATATATAATATTATATACTGAGACAAATTATAAAAAATGGAAAATATATATTTTTATATTTATATTATTATCATTGTCTGGTCCAGAGATAAGTTAATGTAGTGACAGACCATTATTTATACATAGACATGTATAGATGGATGGATATAGCAACCAGGGTTTGGGACTTCAAGTCAGGGGGTTTTATCACTCTTATTTCAGGACTTGATTAGCAACCAGGGTTTGGGACTTTAAGTCAGGGGGTTTTATCACTCTTATTTCAGGACTTGATTAGCAACCAGGGTTTGGGACTTCAAGTCAAGGGGTTTTATCACTCTTCTTTCGGGACTTGATTAGCAACCAGGGTTTGGGACTTCAAGTCAGGGGGTTTTATCACTCTTATTTCGGGACTTCCTTATCATGTCCCATGACTTTAGGGTTTTCAGTCACACAAGGAAATATATATATGGATGTATTTTGTGCACTAAAATTGGATTTGGAAAAGTCTTGTATACCATTTGCCTCTGTTCTCAAACCCACTATTCCCCCTTTCTCAACCTCTAGGGGCCGGGTGGGAGGGGGGGGGGCCTCACTCCCCTTGGGGAACCTTAGGGGTTACCTCTAGATAGATACATGAATAAATAGAAAGATAATAGATAAATAAAAAAAAAATCTCAAAACTTCAATGACCCACCTTTGAACATCAGTATTTGATGTGATACATGGTATAAAGGATTCTATGAACCACCTACCCTCTTGGATTCTATGAACCACTTACCCTCTCTACACTCCAGTATTTGATGTGATGCATGGTATAAGGGATTCTATGAACCACCTACCCTCTCTACACACCAGTATTTGATGTGATGCATGGTATAAGGGATTCTATGAACCACCTACCCTCTCTACAAACCAGTATTTGATGTGATACATGGTATAAAGGATTTATGAACCACCTAACCTCTCTACACACCAGTATTTGATGTGATGCATGGTATAAAGGATACTATGAACCACCTACCCTCTCTACACACCAGTATTTGATGTGATGCATGGTATAAAGGATACTATGACCCATCTACCCTCTCTACACACCCGTATTTGATGTGATGCATGGTATAAGGGATACTATGAACCACCTACCCTCTCTACACACCAGTTTTTGATGTGATACATGGTATAAGGGATTCTATGAACCACCTACCCTCTCTACACACCAGTATTTGATGTGATGCATGGTATAAAGAATACTATGACCCACCTACCCTCTCTACACACCAGTATTTGATGTGATGCATGGTATAAAGGATACTATGAACCACCTACCCTCTCTACACTCCAGTATTTGATGTGATGCATGGTATAAGGGATTCTATGAACCACCTACCCTCTCTACACACCAGTATTTGATGTGATACATGGTATAAGGGATTCTATGAACCACCTACCCTCTCTACACACCAGTATTTGATGTGATACATGGTATAAGGGATTTATACCTTTTATTCGGAAATTAAAATAAATCTCATAAAATCTTGTTTTTAATCAAATCTATTCTTTTTAAGGAGTTATTGAATTTTTGATATGCAACCAAACATATTTGCATTCCTAGCTCTTTTATGTAAACTTTAATTTACAAAGACGCAAAGTTGTAACAGTAACTCCATATAAAAAGGTCATCTTCCTTATGATATGATTGAAGTGCTGTAGTAAGGTTAACATTGTTTGATATTTGTTAATGTTTATTTAAAAAAATCAGTGGGAGAGATTTGTAAACAAAACTGTATCCGATTTCTTATCAGTTTTAAAATCAACTAACTCCACTATTAAAAATGACAGAAATTAGAGAAAAAGTTTTTATAAAAAACAATACTTATCAGTAAGTTCATGAATATTTACATTTTAAGATTTCCCTGAACTAAGGTTTTGGTGCGTCCTGCAGTAATCTGCAGAACTTTGACCCAAGAAGAGTGGGATTTAACAAAATGATATTTATTTCAAATGAAATGTTCGTAAAAAGTTCAGTTTGTAATGAAGCGAATTAGAAGTTTAATTTCTATTCAATCTTTATTTTTAATTCGGGGAAGATGATCGTTAAGTAGAAAAAAAAGAAAAGAAAGAAATTTCTTGGAGGGAAGAGAAGGATAGAGGAGGAGCTGGTGAAGGAAAAGGGGGGGAGGGTTAGGAGGGGAGGAGGGGGGGTTCAAAGTAAGTTGCTGGGAGAAGAGGAGACTGGAGACCAAACCTCGGAATTTATTTCAAAGTTTCAGATGATTTAAAACTTTTAAGTGCAATCTGTAATCTGTAATCTGTAATCTGTATTCTGTAATCTGTAAGCTGTAATCTGTAATCTGTAATCTGTAATCTGTAATCTG